AAAACATCTATTTCTGTTCATTGACTATGCCAAAGCCTTCGACTCTGTGGATCACAATAAACTGGGGAAAATTCTGAAAGAGATGGGAATACCAGACCACCTGACCTGCCTCTTGAGAAACCTGTATCCAGGTCAGGAAGCAACAGTTAGAACTGGACATGGAACAACAGACTGGTTCCAAATAGGAAAAGGAGTATGTCAAGGCTGTATATTGTCTCCCTGCTTATTTAACTTATATGCAGAGTACATAATGAGAAACGCTGGGCTGGAAGAAGCACAAGCTGGAATCAAGATTGACGGGAGAAATATCAATAACCTCAGATATGCAGATGACACCACCCTTATGGCAGAAAGTGAAGAGGAACTAAAAAGCCTCTTGATGAAATTGAAAGAGCAGAGTGAAAAAGTTGGCTTAAAGCTTAACATTCAGAAAACTAAGATCATGATATCTGGTCCCATCACCTCATGGTAAATAAATGGGGAGACAGTGGAAACAGTGTCAGACTTTATTTTTGGGGGCTCCCAAATCACTGCAGATGGTGACTGCAGTCATGAAATTAAAAGATGCTTACTCCTTGGAAGGAAAGTTATGACCAACCTAGATAACATATTAAAAAGCAGAGACATTACTTTGCCAACAAAGGTCCATCTGGTCAAGGCTATGATTTTTCCAGTGGTCATGTATGGATGTGAGAGTTGGACTGTGAAGAAAGCTGAGCACCGAAAAATTGATGCTTTTGAACTATGGTGTTGGAGAAGACTCTTGAGAGTCCCTTGGACTGCAAGGAGATCCAACTAGTTCATCCTGAAGTAGATAAGTCCACTGGAAGGACTGGTGCTGAAGCTGAAACTCTTAATACTTTGGCCACCTCATGTGAAGAGTTGACTCATTGGAAAAGACCCTGATGCTGGGAGGGATTAGGGGCAGGAGGAGAAGGGGACGACAGAGAATGAGATGGCTGGATGGCATCACCGACTCGATGGGCATGAGTTTGAGTAAACTCCGGGAGTTTGTGATGGACAGGGAGGCCTGGTGTGCTGCGATTCATGGGGTCGCAAAGAGTCAGACACGACTGAGCGACTGAACTGAACTGAGGGTAAGGGTGGTGATAGTGGTAAAAAATCTGGTTGCCAATGCAGGAGACTTAAGAGATCCTTTGGAGTAGGAAATGGCAACCCGATCCAGTATTCTTGCCTGGAAAATCCTTTGGACAGAGGAGCCTGGCAGGTTATAGTCCACGGGGCTGCAAAGAGCCAGACACGTGCTCAGACATGACTGAGCACATGAGAGTAAGGGGTTGATGCCAAGCTTTTTTTTCAAAAAATACATAACAAAATGTACTGTTTTTTACAGCCCCTTCCCAATTTATCATTTTTCAGTGTACAATTCAGTGGCATTAATTATATTCACAATGTTATGCACAACCCATTTCTTAAATGTTTTCATTATCCCAAACAAAAACTCTGTAATCATTAGGCAATAACTAACTCCCTAACCTCCCACTCCCTCCTCCCCAGCCTCTAACCTACTTGCTGTCTCTATGAATTTGCTGATTCTATTAATAGGCACCTCAAATGTGTAGAATCATACAATATTTGTCCTTTTGTGTCTGACTTCTTTCATTTAGCCTAATTCTTCAAGGTTCACCCGTGTTGTAGCACATAGTGGTACTTCAGTCCTTTTTATGGCTGAATAATATTCCACTGTAGCCGAATAATATTCCACTGTATGGAAAGGCCTTATTTATCCATTCATCATGGGTGGCTTCCATCTTTTGGCTGTTGTGGATAATGCTGCTGTAAACACTGGTGCACAGCATCTTTTTGAGCCCCTATGTTCAACTCCTTTGGGTGTATACCGAGGAGTGGAATTGCTGGATCATATGATATTTTGATGTTTAGCTTTTTGAAGAACTGCCAAACTATTTTCCACAGTAACTGCACCATCCTACATTCTTACTAGCAATGCAACAGGAGTTCCCATTTCTCCACTTCCTCACCAACTTTTGTTATTTTCTGGTTTTCTGATGATGGCCATTCTACTGGGTATGAAATGGTATCGCATCATCAACACCAAGTTTTGAGGCTGGTCAAGAAATTGAAGATGGGAGCTGGGTCGACAGGAAAGTGAAGATTATTCCAGGAGGAAAACAGAAGTTAAGGGCAAACAGGGTATCATTGGGGTACTGAGTTCTGAACACACAGAGAGATACAAGACACAAGCTCAGGCCCGTTTTCAAATAATTTATTAGGAATTCAAAACTGAAAATAAAACCTGGAAAAAGAAGTTACAGATGTGGAGAGAAGAGACACCGGAGGGTGGTAACTTGCTGGCTTCGAAACACCGTGTAACATCTTTTTAAAAAAATTTCCCAAACAAATCAGAAAACGGAATTCCAAGGCCCTGAGCCCATGGGTGGGCCCAGTTGGGTGGGGGGATCACAGGAAGGGGAGGAGAGGAAAGCTAAGTCTCTCATGACTCAGCTCAAGTGTGTAGAAAATTAAAAATAAAAACCAATACAATGCAGCTTCTCTTTTATTAGGAAACATTAAAAAAAAAAAAAAAACCACGAACAGCCGCGCATCTCAATAACAAAGATTATTGCTTTGTGTTCTCAGGGCTAATAGGTTAAGCACCTCACACAGACAATTAACTCTCCAAAGGGGGTTTTCAGGGGAGGGGACTATGATGGGGAAGGGAGCTTAGGTTCCCAGCCCCAGACCTGGGGGAGAGGACACGGGTAGGCAGTGGGTGGGGGGGGCTCCACCCTACCACACCAGCCTGGTCACTGTTCATGAAGTCATGACCTGAGCCTCTTTTTCCTTTGAAGAGGGCCCAGGGACTCGGGGCTGTGGCCATGGGACCATCCTGGTGGGGAACTTCAGTGAGAGAATGTGGGGGTTCCCTGAGAAGCCCTTTGCTTTCCCCTGGGGTCCGCCCCTTCCCAAAGTGCCCACCCCCAATGCCCACTCATGGAGGGCTCAGGGCAGAGACCATGAAGGCCTGACCAGGTAGGGGGCGGGGAGGGGGTGACCTTTGGAGAGTTAATTCCTTTCCAGCAGTGGCTCTGGGCGAGCCCTTCTCTTCCCTCGCCCCCACACTGGTTTTTTTTTTTGGGGTGAACGGGCCCAAGGCCTTTGACCCCATAGGGCCTGAGAGAGCGGGGCCTGCCTTGGCCACAGGTGAGGCCTGCAAGCTTACAGTAACGGTGTCTGAGAGGAAGGTACAGAAACGCGGGGTGGCGTGAGGCGATGCCCTCGCCCCCAAGGGGTCTTAGAGACGGGTGGGGGCTTCACCTCACAGTATTTACATATATGATACAGGACGGGATGGTTCCAGGGGCTCGGCCTGGCCTCCTCAGCCTGTCCTCCTCTCCAGGGCTGGAGGGAGCTGGCCAGGGGCCCACACCCACATAGACATTTTGTTCTCAGCTGGTGGGGGGGCACCTGGCCCCTTGCCCCCTGCGGCCTGGGGCTTCACATTCACAAACCTAGAAATAGTTTAAAAAACGGTTTCTTTAAAAAACAAAACAAAACAAAAAAAAAAGGAAAGAGAAAAGGAAGGAAAAATCAGAATAAAAAATCCAGGGTTGTGGCTGTGGCCTGTAGCAGGCCCCCTCCGCCCTCACTCTAGCTATGCACAAATACAAAAGCCTTCTTGGGGGGTCCTATGGGGGCGTGGTGGGGAGAGAGGGGCGCAGACCCGACGTGGGGGGGCGCGGAGAGGAGAACGGGGTGGGGGGTAGAGCGGTGGGGGGCGGGGGGTAACCGGCTAATCCAAAATAAATAAAAGCAGGTAGGACAGGGGAGGTGGGGGAAAGGGCCAGGGGCGGAAGAGGGGGAGGTTAGTAGGGGAGCCAGACATGGATGTCCGGGGGTAAGGTGGGGGACAGCAGGGCAGGGGCCGGGGGGCCCAGGGAGTGGGGGGCAGGCAGTAGCGGTCCGAGTCGCTGCGGGGAAGGGGGCGGCGGCTGCGGCTGAGGTGGCCCCGCCCCCTCGCTGGCTCACTCGTGGTCCTCGTCAGCTGCAGGCCAGGGCGCTGGAACACAGCAGCGGGTTAGGGGGTCCTGCCCTCCGCCTCTCTGCGGCCCACAGAACCCACGTCTCCTCGGGCCTAAGGCCTCTTTCCCTGATCCCCTCCTAGGCAAGCTTCCTGCATATACTTCGCATCTCCTGCTCCCTGTCTGGAACCCTCTTTCCCTAGATTTCTGGATAGCTGGATTTGTTCCAATGTCACCTTCTCAGGGACTGCGTTGTGAACCCCTGAAGCAGGTAGACCTCTCACGTGCAATTTAGAATGATGTCAATTGCTCACTTCATTTTTGTCTGTAGAGAGAGGGGAGCCTTCTTGGTCTTCTACCTCCCCCTCTCCCGAAACAAATGCTCAGTTAATAGTTGTTGGAATGCACAAATGGACAAACAAAGGAAATGTCGCTGAGACACAGAGCGCCCCACTGTACACAGCATGATGGCTGTGTGTGCAGGGTCTTCCCCTCCCCCTCGCTCTCTGTATATGTAGATACATGGACAGTATCCTGTTTTACCAGTTGGATATTCCGGTGCATGCATGCAGTCTATTTAACCGCTCTGCTGTTGATGGGCATTTCAGTTATAAAAATAAATGCCTAGACGTAGAATCGCTGTGTTATGGGCATGAAATGTTTAGTCCAGATAAACCCTGCTCTTTAAAAAACCTGAGCCGATTTGCACAGGTTCCTCTCCTCCCTCATCACTGTGGAGCCCCAACAGTCTTAAAAAAAAATCTTTGAGAAGCAGCACGTGCTGCCTTATGGTGGCTATCATTTACATCCTTTATGGAGCAGTCTGAGTCGCTTCTCTGGGTCTTTGACCATTGCTGGGATAAAGATCTGTCTCCCCACTGGCGCTGTGGGTTCCAAGAAAGTCTATGTCCCAGACTGCACTGCTCAGTGCTAGCCAGATGCCACCCACACCCCAAGACCCCAGCCCACCTCCTCACCTCCTGCCACCTGTTTCCTGCTTCAGTGGTACCCATTGGTGAAAGCTGTGGCAATCAAGGGGCCCTGGAAAGAAAAGGATTTGACTCCTAGATTCCTGGGGGTGGCTGAGAAAGCCCAGGGGCTCCTCCTCTCTTCCGCAGGAGCCTCAGGTAAGGCATAGACCTTCTCTAGCCCTGCCTGTATCACCCCTACTATCTACTAGGGTAGATTCTCCAGGGAAAGGCCTGAGAATCTGCAGATAACCAGCACCCTGGTAAAAAGCAGGGCACCCCTGAGCTAGAATCTAGCCTCCATGCAGGCAGAGATGCTGAGCCTCATTTGCACAGTATTCCCAGAGCCCACCCAATGGCTGGCATACAGAGGGCAATCATTAAATGCCCACTGAATGAGTGAATGACAACTCTCACTGATCCTGGGTCTCCCATCCATTATCTCTTGCCTCTCTTCTCCACCTCCCCCAACAGACAGACAAGGCCTCTCCCGCCTTCAACTTCTGGGGCCTCCAGATCTGGGAGCCACTCACCCCAAGACTGTGGCCGAAGCCAGTGCTGGGGGCGGGGCTGGCAGCGCTGATGTAACTGCTGACCCCCGAGTCCTGATTGGCTGCCCCGTAGAGCTCGGCCATGGGGCCAGGGCTAGTGGTCCCCAGGAAGCCCCCTGTGCGGCTGGGAGTCGAACCTGGAGGGGGAGCCATCGTCCAGGGGTGAGAGCCTGGCAACCCAGAAAGAAGACGGTGATAGCCCCGGCGCCCACTGTGACCCCGCAGCAACCCCCCACAACCCATCCCACCCCCTTCCCCGACCTTGACCCCTCCCCCTCGGCCTCACCCCCACACCCAGCAGAGTGTTGTGGGACCACTGCCTGGAGATTGACCAGAGTCCATCCGCCCCCACCAGCCTTAGCCCAGGGCCCCCGTTCTCTCTGGTCCCACGGCTCAGCGGCCTCCTTACTGACTGCCCCTCCCTTCTGGAGCCCTTCCCACCTGTCCCCACCCCACAGCTGCCTGCGCTGTCTAAAATGACCATCACTCCACTGTTTAAAATGTTTGGTGTGTAAAAAAATAAAAATAAAAAGTAAAATAAAATAAAATGTTTGGTGTTTCCCTAGAATCTGGTTCCTTGTCTCCACTCCTCACCCCTCCACTCCACCCATGCTAACTGGCCTCCATGCCTTGGCACCTGCTTGTCCTTCTGCTGGGAATACCTTTCCTCCTCTTTGCCTTCAGATCAGAAGTTAAGAGGGGCAACCTCCTGGCAGCCCTTCCCGAGAGGCCCGTCTCTGACACCTGACTTCCCCTGGTAGGCTGTAGCATGGGATGGCCTTTGTTAACACCTGCTGCCCGACCAGCCCACAAGCTCTGGAGGGCAGAGACCACACCTGTCTCCTTCCCGGCGGGCCTGGCAGGTGCTAAGTTCATAGTCCTTGAGTGAATGAATCAGTGAGTCCCTCTGAAAAGGGGTGGCCGTGGCCGCCTCCCCTCCCCTCTAGACTTCTCTGTCCCCCATCCCCCCGGCCCCCTGCACCCCAGACAGCCTCACCTGTCCCTCGAACCACAGCCGCTGCTGCCGCCGCCGCCGCCATGGGTCCGTAAGCAGTGAGGGGAATGGCTGGAAGGAAAGGTGTGGGCGCTTCAGCGCGGCGGCCGAGGGGCAGCAGGGGTGCGGGCAGAGCCTCTCTGGCCCAGCCCACCTCAGAGCGGTCAAGCGCAGCCCCGGGGTCAGGCAGAAAGAGCTCCCTTGGAGAAAGGGAGGAGAGAGGACAGCCTCCCAGGGATCAGCTGGGCCTCTGCTTCAGCCTGGACTCGAGGGACACACGTGCACAACCCAAATGTCATGGGTGGGGGTGGGGGGTGGTGCACAAGCCACATCTCATGGGGGGGGGTGGGATGGGGGCGGGGCACCCCCTGAGCTGCCCTGAACAGTGCCCGCTGCTGCCATCGCCAGGGAGGGCCCTCGGCTGAACCAGGGGGCTACTCAGCCCAGGGCTATCGAGAGATATGTCCCTCTTTCCAGCCCAAGTCAACCGGAGCCAGTGACTGACTGACACAGGCACCAAAAGCTGGGCCTGTCGCCCCAAGGACCAACGGACCGAGACATGCATTCTCGCCTTCCCACCCCCTACTCCCCCCAAAAGATCGGGCTAAAGCTAGACTCCAGGCGACAACCCCATTTCATTCTTTCTGCTGCCTGGCTGGCTCCCCGCAAGCCCCTCCTCCTGGCTCAGCACCCCTGGCCATCACCCAGGAAGAAATGACCACTCCCTTCCCCAGGTCTCCTCATCCCCTTTTCTCTGACCCTCTCTTCAGACACAGGGATCTGGCTATTCCCTAGTTTGCTGTCTACACCCCCCCACCCCACCACCTCTACAGCGCCTAGCACCCTGTCTTGTACACAGCAGGTGTTTAAGGAATAGCAGTGATCAAGATCATCCCCAAGAAAAAGAAATGCAAAAAAGGCAAAATGGTTGTCTGAAGAGGCCTTATAAATAAATAGCTGAGAAAAGAAGAGAAGCAAAAGGCAAAGGAGAAAAGGAAAGATATACCCATTTGAATGCAGAGTTCCAAAGAATAGCAGGGAGAGATAAGAAAGCTTTCCTCAGTGATCAATGCAAAGAAATAGAGGAAAATAATAGAATGGGAAACACTAGAGATCTCTGAAAGAAAATTAGAGATACCAAGGGAACATTCCATGCAATGATGGGCACAATAAAGGACAGAAACGGTATGGACCTAACACAAACAGAAGATATTAAGAAGAGGTGGCAAGAATACACAGAAAAACTATATAAAAAAAGATCTTAATGACCCAGATAACCACAATGGTGTGATCACTCACCTAGAGCCAGACATCCTGGAATGCGAAGTGAAGGCCTTAAGAAGCATCACTATGAACAAAACTAGTGGAGGTGATGGAATTCCAGTTGAGCTATTTCAAATCCTAAAAGATGATGCTGTGAAAGTGCTGCACTCAATATGCCAGCAAATTTGGAAAACTCAGCAGTGGCCACAGGACTGGAAAAGGTCAGTTTTCATTCCAGTCCCAAAGAAAGGCAATGCCAAAGAATGTTCAAACTAATGCACAACTGCACTCATCTCACATGCTAACAAAGTAATGCTCAAAATTCTCCAAGCCAGGCTTCAACAGTACATGAAACATGAACTTCCAGACGTTCAAGCTGAATTTAGAAAAGGCAGAGGAACCAGAGGTCAAATTGCCAATATGTGCTGGATCATTGAAAAAGCTAGAGTTCCAGAAAAACATCTACTTCTGCTTTATTGACTACATCAAAGCCTTTGACTGGGTGGATCACAACAGACTGTGAAAAATTCTTCAAGAGATGGGAATACCAGACCACCTTACCTACCTCCTGAGAAATCTGTTTGCAGGTCAAGAAGCAGTAGTTAGAACTGGACATGGAACAACAGACTGGTTCCAAATAGGGAAAGGAGTACGTCAAGGCTGTATATTGTCACCCTGCTTATTTAACTTATATGCAGAGTACATCATGTGAATGCTGGGCTGGATGGAAGCACAAGCTGGAATCAAGATTGCCAGAAGAAATATCAATAACCTCAGATATGCAGATGACACTACCTTTATGGCAGAAAGCAAAGAACTAAAGAGCCTCTTGATGAAAGTGAAAGAGTGAAAAAGTTGGCTTAAAACTCAACATTCAGAAAACTTAGATCATGGCATCTGGTATCACTTCATGGGAAATAGATGGGAAAACAATGGAAATAGCGAGAGAATTTTTGGGGGGCTCCAAAATCACTGCAGATGGTGACTGCAGCCATGAAATTAAAAGACACTTGTTCCTTGGAAGAAAAGCTATGACCAGCCTAGACAGCATATTAAAAAGCAGAGACATTACTTTGCCAACCAAGGTCCATCTAGTCAAAGCTATGGTTTTTCCAGTAGTCATGTATGGATGTAAGAGTTGGGCTATAAAAGAAAGCTGAGCACCAAAGAATTGATGCTTTTGAACTGTGATGTTGGAGAAGACTCTTGAGAGTCCCTTGGACTGCAAGATCAAACCATTTAATCCTAAAGGAAATCAGTCCTGAATATTCACTGGAAGAACTGATGCTGAAACTGAAACTCCAATACTTTGGCCACCTGATGGGAAAAACTGACTCATTTGAAAAGACCCTGATGCTGGGAAAGATTGAAGGAGGGAGAAGGGGACGACAGAGGATGAGATGGTTGGATGGCATCACCAACTCAATGGACACAAGTTTGAGTAAGTTCCTAAAGTTAGTGATGGACAGGGAAGCCTGGTGTGGTACAGTCCATGGGGTCCCAAAGAGTTAGACACGACTGAATGACTGAATTGAACTGAACTGAACTAGGAGGAATATAACTAGGAGGGACCCGTGCCTTAATGATGGGTTGTCCTGAGCCTGGAGCTGCCTCCGGCTGGGGATGAGCACCCCCTGCTGTTTGGCTCTACCACTGCAACCCTTAGAGGCCACACTCCCATCCAGAGCCAGCATCTCCTGTTCAAAGATGCTCCCCTGGGGGCTGTTTTAGTGACCCTAACCCTGAACTGGAACTGGAGGTGGGGTGAGGGACCCTGGAAAAAAATCCTTGTGAAAATTCTTCGGTAGGTTGTTGGGCCAGGAGATGAAAATCTAGGACAGCATGCCTGGATAGTTGGCAGACGCTTTGCCTAAGATCTTTAGAGAGCTGGCACCTTCTCACTCAAGACATCACCTCCTTTGAGAAGCCTTCCCTGACTACCCCTGCTAAGGCAGCCCCTCGCCCTGACTTGAGCACCTGAGCACATCTCCTTGTTTTATTTTCCTTATGGAACCTCTCACCCGGTGCAAGTATCTTGATTTACTTGTTTATTTACTTGTTTATTCCTGTCTCCCTCCACCAGACTGTCAACTCCAGGAGGGCAGGGAGATTGTCTGTCTCGCTCCCTACTGAATCCTCACCGTCTGGAACAGCATTTGGCACAACAAATATTGATTAAGTGCACAAGGAAATACTGTCATCTCTTGAAGGTGAGGGCAAAGTTCATACCCCAGACCTCCAAGAACTGCTCAGCCTCGAACCCACTGCCTCCCCAGGCCAAAATGTCTGCAGAGGGGCTATTCCTTCCCTCAGTTCTTTAAGGGCAGGGCTGGGCCCTGAGGTCTGGTTTGGGGCCCAGTTAGGCATTTCCTCAAAGCAAAACCAGCATGCTCTCACCACAACAGTAAAGCATTACTCATTTGTATAATAAGTATTTATGTCTCTCTCTAGAGCACAAGTTCTGCAGATGAGACCTTGGCTGTCTGGTTCCTTCTTTGTCTCCAGGACTTGGCTGGCTGTCTCACACAGCAGGCCCTCAACACGAGTTCCGAGATGAGTAGGAAAGACCCCCATCTGCCCCACAATTCACTCTGCTCAGGGAAGATCCTCTATCACCCCCACCATCAGGACTCCCCCCCCTTCCTTCACCCCATGTGCCTCTTTCCCCTCCCCCATTTTGGGGGGCCCCTGAGCACCCCTTGGAAGGAAGGTCTCATCTAAAGCAGCGTCCACACTTGTGTCTTCCACACGCGGCTAGGTTCGGGGGAGGAGTCTGGGGGTGGGGTGAGGGGAGAAGCAGATTGAACAGAGAAACCTGTTGCAGCCCACCTCATCTGCATCCCGCCCCTTGCCCCTTGCTGTGGGCCTCCGCCCTGGCCCCAGCTCCAAAGCTGAGCTGACAGGCCCAGGTGAAAACTCCAGCGGGAGAAATGGCCCAGGATGGCCCAACACATCGCCCTACTTGCCCAAGAGTTGCAAATGGGCTGGGTTCGGCCCTCAAATAGGTTTCATCTGGTCCCCGGGGAACTTAAAAATTTGAAACTCATTGCTAGTATTTGAAAATAACTGAAAAATTCATTTGAAAGTGAAGCCGGGTTTCTGGCTTCTCTTGGAAAAATGGAATCTGAACATACCGGGTTTCTATGTTTCCTCCTGGCAGGGGCCGAGCGGAGCCACGCCCACCACGGAGCCACGCCCCCACCGTGTCCTGACGTCCCCACCCCGCCCACTCCCTCTGCGTTTGAGACTCTGGCTGGTTCACCTCTGGATCCCAGCGCCGACACGGTGCCTGGCATACGGGAGGCGCTAGATAAATATTTGTCAAGTGGATGAATGAGTGATTTCGCCTCCATCTGCTGGGCTTGGCCCTGTGCCCTACCCTTAAGGACCATGTAGCTACGCAGACTGGCCAGTGCCCAAGGCTGTTGCTCCGCCGGAGGACTGGAGGGCAGGAGAAGAGGGTCCCCCTAGCTTTCCCGGGGTCGGTCCCTGGGTCATTCTCTTTCTCCCCCATGTGGCCTGTGAGATGTACGAAATCCGAGCGACTGACCTGTAAGCTCGGGGAGGACTGGGGCGCTCGGGAGAGGGGTCCGCTCTACACGGAATTCTAAAATGAAACGTAAAACAGCTTAGGAAGATGCAGAGAGGCCCCTCGGGCGTGGCCCAGGGAGGACAAAGGCACTCATGGGACACTGGGCGGGGGGACAGGCCATGCACAGGACCCGAGAGCTGGGGATGGGGAGAGCACGGTCGCCAGCAGGCCAAGGTGGGGATGGAGACAAAGACACAGAAAAGTGAGACCAACAGGGAAGGAACAAGTGGGCAGAGTTGCCACCTACACTCCGGGCACTGGGAGATGGTGGAGCTTCTGTCCCTGGTGTTTTTTTAAAAAAGGTCTGAAGGCACTAAAACATCTCCCAGAATCCATCTTTTCTTCTATTTGGGGGGCAGGCAAGCAATGACCCTGGAGCAGCTCCGCCACCTTCTAGATGAGTCATCTTTGCAGTCACTTTCCCCTCTGAGCCCGTTTCCTCACCTAGAAAATCGGGCTCGTCCCGCCTCCCGCTGGAGATCACTGTCAGGACTAGTCAGTGTCATGTGAACAGGGGATTCATATCTGGACAGCCCAAGGTGCAAGGGCTTAGGGGACCCTCCAGAGAAATAAGACCAAAAAACAAACAAGAGCCTTGCAAAAATATGACATTTGATATCAAAAAAAAAACAACATTGAATAGTCATCATGGGAAAGGCTCAGAACTTTGTTGGGCTTCTTGCCACAAATGGGAAGGGCCAATGTTGTTTTTATTTTGAATTGCAAATGAGGGTGGTGATCATCGTGGTTTTAAATTGCTTTTCAGCATTCAGGGTCTCAAAAGGTCTCATCTGCCTTGGAAGGGGCTCAGTGTAGCACATGGTCATTATGGGGGAGTCCATAAGGACAGAGTCAACTCTGACCCTCAGGGGGAACTCCCCACCACAAGCCTGATGCCCTTTTGGTGGAAGTGGCAACCTTGGACGCGGGTAGGGAAGAAAGGCAAGAGACAGGCAGAGGTCAGCCTGGGAGGGAGGGTGTCATGCAGGGCCACACGGGGAGCCCCACCCCCAGCTTCTCGGGAGGGGAGGGGGGCTGGGTGGGGAGAGGCGCTCCTTCCTCAGACATGCCCTTCCTTCCAAGCCTCCAGCAGGCAGACCTCCCCCCAGCCATGCACCACCCCCTGAACACTGCCCTGAGGAGTCAGACTGCCCGGGAAACGGGGACATGCGGGCAGCAGTGGGACACTGGGCGGGACTTACCGGGGAACTGGTAGGTGTAGCCAGGGGCAAGGCCTGTATAACTCCGGCTGGCATAGGTCGTGGCTTGGAAACCAGGGTAACCTGATAAGGCAAGGGGACCAGTGTCAGATGCTTTATCTACAGTTCGGTGGGGGAGGATGTATCACGAATTCCCCTCCCCACTCTGTATCATGAATAATAATCACATTTACCACATACATACTATCTGCATGCCAAGCCCTATACAAAACCCACTGCACACTTTGCTCTCTCCTTAACCCTCATAAGAATCCCAAGTGGCACCGTTAGGAGCCTCATTTTATAGGTAGAGAAACTGAGGCTCAGTGAGGAGACATTTATGAGCTGAGAATAATCCAACCCCTTATCACAGTTCTTCATGCTGTGGCTCCTGCCTCCGCCCTCTCCTCGTCCACATCCTGCCCCACTCTCTCTCTCTGCTGCAGCCACACTGGCCTCCCTGCTGTGTTTCAGATTCACCAGCTCCTTCCCACCCCAGGGCCCTTGCACATGCTAATTCCTCTGCCTGGAACACTCTTCCCCAGGTTTTCACATGACTATGACCTTCTCATTGTGCAAGAGGCAGCTCAAATGTCACCTCCTCAGAGAAGTGATCCCACAAAAGACCTCTCTCTCATCAGTTACAACAGTATTTATCATGTGACTCTCCCTGGTTTTTCCCTTTCAATATTTATCATGTCACCCTGGTTTTTTCCTTTCATAGCACTGATGACTAGTATCTGAACTTATCCCAGGATTTCTTCAAGAGCTGATTTTCTGTCTTCCCCACCTTTTATTTCTATCTCTCCATCACCAGAACAGTGCCTGCTACTTAGTATGCATATATTGTAATAGATATTTGCAGCTTTGAAAGAAAGATCACATAGTGAGTAATAATGGTATAATTGGGATTCAAAATCAGATCTGACTGGCTCCAAGTCTCTTAACCATGATTCTCTATTGGTTAGAAGTGTTCTTTTCTCTCCCCCACCCCCACTTTTTTTTGGGGGGGCCTCGACAAGCACATGTAGGATCTTAGTTCCCCAACCAGAGATCAAACCTGCTGCAGTGGAATTGTCAAGTTTTAACCACTGCACTGCCAGGGAAGTCCCCCTCCCCCACTTTTTAAAAGGAGTAAGACCAGCTAATGAATTGTTTTGAAAAGAAAATTTTCTCAAAGTTCCAAAGGATGCTAAAGAAACAGAACAACTAAATTCAAAAACTGATTCTGGTGGATCTTGTTCTGGAGGACATAAATAGCTATAAAGAACAGTACTGGTCAACTGATAAAAATCAGAAAATAGATAGTAGATTAGATTAAAATATTGTACCAATATAACTATATGAAGTTGATAACTATAATGTTTCATGAAAGCACACCCCTAATCTTGGGAAATATACACTGAATTAATTTACCCTCAAATGATTTAGAGAAAAATCATAAGCGTATCATGTGTGTGTGTGTCTACACATATGTATATGTATATATATATATATATATATATATATACACACACACATATAGAGGAAATGAGAAAAGCAAATAGGGTATGATGTTAACAGTAAGTGAATCTGGGGACTTCTCTGGTGGTCCACTGGTTAAGACATCACCTTCTGAAGGGAGTAAGAGTTTGATCCCTGGTTGTCCCCCAACCAAGTCTAATAACTCACATGCCTTTCAGGCAAAAAAGCAAAACATTAAAAAAGAAGCAATACTGTAATAAATTCAATAAAGATTTAAAAATGATCCACATCAGAAAAAAAATCTTAAAAAAAAAACCAACAGGTGAATCTGGTAAAGGGTATATGGATTTTTTGGTACTACTACTTTATTTTTCCAACTCTTCTGAAAACGTAAAGTTACTTTCAAACAAAAAGTCAAAAAGCAAAAATAAAACTTCAGCAGACAATGTTCCACTTGGGGGGTATGCTCCTCACCCCCTCTACTTGTGGTCCCAGTCCTGACCGTCTAGCCCATGCTGCACCCCGTTCTCTGAGTCCTCAGGGCACCCCTCCCCCATCTCCAACATAAAGACCCCCTTGTTAGTGTTCTCCTGTGTACATACAGCTTGTCTCTCCAAGAAGACTGTGACCGTCTTGGGGTCCCAGCTCAGATTTTTCACCTTTGGTCAAGGGCCCCAAGCACTGCTGACTCTTGTTCATCTTCCAAGGCTCATGGTGACCTTGACCCCCCTCCCCAGGGAGCTTCCTCGACCCCCAGGTCGATTTAGGTGCCTCCTCGGGCCTCCCACAGCCTCCAGTCACTCTGTGGTGACACGGTCCATTTAATCTTGTCTCTCGCTTGATGGGAAACACAATGAAGGCAGGTCCTATTTCTCAGAAGCTGCTCAATAAATATTAGTCGAACAAACAAGAAGAAACATGCTTCTCTCTACCTTCCCAAAGGCCCGATGCGTCTGTAAATGCTGTTTCATCTGCCTGACCACTTTTCCCCTCCCCTGCTCCCGGCCCTCCCATGACTTAGCTCCTACTCAGCCCTCAGACTCGGCTTAAATGTCACGTCTCTCCTATCGTCTCCGAGTCTTGGTCAGCTTCACTGTGACAATCCTCCCTTGGCAACCCACACTTCTCCATCCCAAACCTATTATGTTTCTGTTCTTTAGCCACTAAGTTGTGTCCGACTCTTCTGTAACCCCATCGCTCCTCTGTGCAGGGATTTTCCAAGCAAGTATACTGGAGTGGGTTGCCATTTCCTTCTCCAGGGAATCTTCCCGACTCAAGGATGGAACCTGTGTCTCCTGCATTGGCAGGTAGATTCTTTACCACTGAGCCCCCAGGGACTTATTTGTTTTTCCTGCCAGACCATAAAGCCCAAAGGAAAGTCACTGCTGTAATTCCTGGCATAGGGCCTTGCATTTATAGTTGCTCAATAACTACTTACTGGATGGATGAGTGGACAAACAAATCGAATGGTGGGATGGACAGTAGGACCAATTAGAGGAGCAACTGGACCATTCTTTTGGTTACCACCAGAGGGCAGCACCCCACAACCAAATCGCCCACCTTCATTAGGACTGCCAGACCTGAGATCCTTGGTCCACACGCCCTGGGCACTGTCTGCCCAGACCTGAGGGCAGACCACAGAGTAAAGGCAACACCCACACAGCTCCTGGGAGCCCCAGGTGCAGTTCTGGGCAGGGAGAAGCCACAGGTGCAGGCCTAGCACATACCCAGCATGCCGATGCCCAGCATGAAGGCGTCCATCCCGTAGGGCATGACTCGAGACCTCCCCCGGGCCGAGCCCGTTGGTGACATCACCTCTTTTGGCTGAGCTTTCTTACATTCCACCTGCAATGAGATCCGGTGGTCAGTCCCTCCTACAGACCCAGGGTCACAGACCCTCTCCTATTCCCTGGCAGGCCTCTTGTTCATTTCACAGTTACTATTATCACAATGTGCTAGAGATGGGTTGAGCATGCAGTGGTTCATCAAATGCTTACACTGGCCCTGAGATGGATGGAGGTACTACTGACACTCTCGTTTTGCAGACGAGGGAACTCAGGCTCAGAGAGGCGAAGTCATCTGTCCAATGACTAGACTAGGAAGCGGTGGAATAAGAATTTCAGTCCAAGTCCCTCTGAGCCCACCAGCCATGCTTTCTAACCGCCATGTTCCTGTCCACACTTTCGGGGGTGAGAGAACTGGCTCTGCCCCACTGCCTGTGAGGCCCCTCTGCCTGCCTTCAGAACCTCTAAGCATTCCCTGGCTGATTCAGGCTAGAGCCCCAGTCTCCCTCTGCATGCCATGCACAATGTTCCCCACCAGGGATTGAACCCATGCCCCTTACAGTGGGAGCGCAGAGCCTTAACCACTGCACCACTAGGGAAGTCCACCTGCTCACCATTTTGTTGTTGATTTCATGGAAGTGGATTTCACACACTTTCTCCACGATGTCCTCACTCTCAAACGTGACAAAGCCGAACCCTGGCGGGTAAAGGCAAGGTCAGAACCAGGCTCCTGGTTAAAACCCAGCCCCAAGTCATACCAACAGCACCACTCCCTTCTTACAGGTAAGTGTCTAAGAATTAATGAGAGGCTTCGACCACACCCTGGCAACCTCTCAAGTACGTGATGAGACAGGATTTCAGTTCCCAAATCATAGATGTGAAAACCAAGGCTCAGTGAAGTGACTGGTCCAAGGTCACATAGCAAATTAGAAAGAGGCAGGGCTGTGACGCAAATGACATTCAACATGCCTTTTCTCTTCCTCAGATGCTTTCCAGAGAGGGAAATAGAAATACTTTTAAAATACACACACAAATCCTTTTAAAAATGTACATGAACATGGACAGGTATATTTTTGTATACAGATACACACACACACATACACACCCCTAGGTACCCACACATCACAGAGACACTTTAACTAGTGCTCACAAAGGCATTAAGGTCTCTGTGTGCATATGAGAGTTACCTTGACATGCTAGGTCTACACAACTGCTCAGTATCAAATACGCTCACATGCATGCATACGAACACATAGACACACACACCCCAGCACACATCCCACTCCCCAAACAGGTTAAAAGGCCCAAAGCTCCGAAGGCACTGGAGAAACAACCTTGCGTCCTCCTGGGTGTGCCCCAGGGCCTGGAACGGGATTTCTCAGAAGGCAAGGCCCTTGGGAGAAAAAACCAGGCAGTACGCACCCGGTGGCCCAGAAGCTCACAGAGTCAGGGCCGAGGGGGCTGGGCTCGGCCCGGGGTGGGGCGAGGGGGCCAGAGGCAGGAGCAGACTGTAGAGTCAGCCTGACCCTGGGGTGGCCGGGCCCCAGCTCTGGTTACCAGGGACAAGGTAAGCCCAGCAGACGCTAGCTGGGGCGGGGGCGGAGGGCTCGGTTGCTGGGGGAGGAGAGGTCCACTCCTCCATTCCTCTCCTCTCCGGTGTCTGCAATTCGGCAAGTTTCTAGCACAGGAAACGGCGGGACAAAAGCCTTCTGTAAGGCCAGGCCAGGGAGAGGATGCAGATCCTCGGGGATAGGATGTCAGGAGGCGAGATGAAAGGGCAGCTGTGACCTGCAGCCCCCTGGCTGACCACAGGCCCCCCAGCCCGGCCTAGGAAGGGGGAGGGGCCACACTCACCTCTGTGTCGGTTGGTGGTTTTGTCAAACATCAGCATGGCATCATCCACCTAAAACAGAGCTCCCGTGGAGGACCCACCAGACCCGGGGGCCCCACCGCAACCCAGGAGCGAGGGCTCCGACACCCACTCCCCTCCTGCCCGGTCCAGGCTTTATCTTCAACCTGCTCCCTGGGTGGGGGACAGCGTTCTATCGGCAACCCCAACTGGCTGCCACAGCACCCCTGTTCAACCACCAGATTCTCCTGCAAATATTAAGCACCCACTATATGCCTGGCACTTTGCCCCACCATCTTCTCCTTGCATGGTAAGAGCCTCATTCTGTCGATGAGGAAATGGGCTCAGAGAGGTGAAGTCACCTGTCCAGGGTCACACAGCACACCCCAGATCAAGTCTGGGAGGAGTAGGAGGAGGCAGGCAGTGGGTGCTAGAGGAAAAAATAGAGGAGTAAGATAGGAGATGGGGAAGTGAAAGCCTCTTTCCCACTTGCAAAAGGCCAGGAGGACAGCAGCCACTCCAGTCAGACCCAACTCCCCTCTCCTCCTACAGATCTTTTCCTCTAATTGAGGTTTCCTTTTGCTAGAGGCTGTAATTAAAGCAAGTAGAGTTCAGTGCCTGGGCTGCCGGCCTCCCACTGACTGGGGGAGGGGAAAAGAGTGGAGGAAGGGGGAGGTTCTGCATTATCCCCCATCCCTTGGACCCTAAGTCTTCTCTTCTTGCTGCTCCCTCAAGGCATCCTTTTGGATGCACGGACAGCCAAAGGCCTTCTCTTCCCTTCCGCAGTCCCAGCTTCCCTCTGCCTACATCTGCTGCTTCCTCCTTGCCCTCTTAATTCTTCAGCCAATGTCTGCTGTCTCATGGGGTTAAGCTAAGGTCGGATTCATCCTGGGTGGAAATCAAGGGCTGCCTCTGACACTGACTCTCCCTATCCCACCTCCCACTCCAGCTGCTGACCCTCCCCCAAATGGTCAGACACCCAAGGGATCAAGGAAAACTTCCTGAGGCCTTGGGGCACAGCCTCTTCCCCACTAGCCTTTGCTCTCAGTCCAGGCTGTCATCCGCCTCGTTAAAGTGGAAAGGGCGGCCCCTGAGCTGGGTGGTCCTCCAGCTCTTAGGCACCAAGCAGTAATCGGGCCCCCGACTTTCCCCAAGGAGAAGCAGGATCCCCCACACCACTGAGTCAGGAGGCAGCTGGGTCCCTGGGGAATCTCAGGAGAAAATGACATCTCTCTGCCCAAAGAGGCGCCTGCCCTAGGGCCGCACAGCTCGCTGTCACCGTGGCTCCCATCCCTATGGACCCACTCTGAGTCCCAAATCAGCTCAACCTTCCAAACCGGATGGACACTTCACGTTTGGCACAGAGAAAAGAGAAACCCGGAAAGGGGGGCTTGTGATTAAAGCACAGGCTTTGAGTAGGACCGGCTGGAGCTGGAAAGTAACCTTGGCCAGCAGCTTTAGGCCTCTATGATTCAAGTTCGTTATCTGTCAAATGGGGCTTTAGCTGTGTCTTATAGGGAGGTGTTAAAGGAGATATGCATGCAACAATCGTAACTCACAGCACCCGGGATAGAGTAAGCGCTTAATACATAGCAGCTTTTATTATTATTACCTTTATTAGAGAGGGGCTTGCCCACAGTCACATGGGGAAGGCAGGCAAAGCTAGAGAGTAAACAACCGGACACCACTGGCTTTGAAGGTTCCATGAAGGCAGTGCCAGGTCAGTCATGACCGCCCTATCCATCACGGGACTTGTGATCCCTGATTACTTTTTGAACCAATGAATAGATGAGCCCAGCCACACCCTCCTTCCCTATCCCTCCGCTGAGTTCCTGATTCAGCCCAAATCCACCGCCCTTCCTCCAATCAACCCCTCTCGCTCCACCAGCCCTGGCCACCCCCCACGCCCAAACCCTTCAACCCGGGCCTTGGCTGAACAGACCCGGAGTGGGCAAGCCGGGTTGAGGCCAGGGCACAGAGCAAGTAAAAGTGGTTGGGGGTCCAGGGGACCCCCCACTGGCGTCCCCTCCTGGGGCCAGCAGAGGGGAGGGAGGCTCCCGGCCCAGTGTCCTTAATAGGCTTTGGTCTCCATGGGAACCCAGGGGCAGGGGGGCTCGGGCGGGGGGGAGGGGAGGCGGCCGAGGCCTGCTGACCAGTGGGAGCCGCCAAGTTCGGCGGCCGCTAAGCCTGAGTGGCAGCCATGGCGGCTGACCATTGTTCCCCCCTCGGCGGCGGCCCCTCGATCCGGGCGGGGGGCCCCCCGCCGCGGGGCCCTTGGCATTCCCGGCTGTCCCCCTCGCTCCCTGGCAGCCTATTCTCCGGCTCCCCCTGGCCTCCCCGGGCCGGTTTCACATGCCAACGCCGATTTAGGCCCGAACAAAAGACGCGGCCGCTGACGGCTTCTCCTGGGGCCCGGTTGCCATGGCAACGCCGGCCCCGGGGGCAGGCGGCCTCCAATCACAGCTGCTGGATCAGATTAGTGCGAGCTCTAATGCTCGGCGCTCAGACACAAAGACACCCCACCGGAGCCCGAGCGGGGCCTGCTGCTTCCCAGGAGCGCCCTTCCCTCTGGGGCCCAGGCCGCCCGACCTGCCCTGGATCCGGTACCCGGGTCCCTGCGGAGGCGCCTTGAGCCTAGGCCTCTGGCCCCGGCATCGCCAGCATACGCTGGCCAGGGGACCTCCCACCCGCTCCCTTAGAGGCAGGGGGCTGGAAACCCACCCAGTCCCCAGCTCACGTCCCATTCTCAAGCCACGATTCTCCTGTGCCCTGCGCCTAATATAGGGAACCGAAAGGGCCTTGATGGGAAGGTGAGACCCAACCAGCAGCCTGTTCCACGTCTGAAAAGCCCAGGGACCCCAGCATTCAGCACAGCAAGCTCTGCTTCACCCCGAGGCTTAAGTAAAACTTGGTCCCCTCCTAGCCATATCTCCATGGCACCTTGAGATTCACACGCTCCCCTTTCTGGGGGGTGGTGGGAGACACGCTATTGTCTGATGTCACCACATTGCTTCTGCATGGACTAAATGGCCCAGAAATTTAAGTTCCAGGCAACGCAGAGCTGAGAACCAGTTCTCTGGGACTGATCAGGAATTTGGGGTGGTCTCTGCAGCCCCTCCCCGATAAGCTAAGAGATCAGCACCACCCCCCACCCCAGCTCCCACCTGCACAAGCAGGGTTCTGAGTACAACTGAGAGTCATATTTATTGCCTCGTTATCATCTTTAGCAGGAAGGAGTGGGGGAAGGTACAACCACCCCGTGGACTGGACAGGTGCAGACTCCCAGGAGGCCAAGGGGGTGACTGGATTGAACTGGCTTCGGGAGCACAGCCTCCCTCAGGAGAAGGAAGATAAGCAGGAGAAGGGCAACAACAGGGATAGCTACTGTGTGGCTTCCCTCCCTGGGGAGGTGTCCACAGAGTCTGAAGCCCACAGATAGGCCAGGAGCCTGAACGCTGGGTTTGGCCCAGCCTCACCCACAAAAGGACCCAGCCCTCTTTGGGACTCTTGCAGGAATTGGAATGACCTGGCTGGACTCCGTGCTTGCTACCGACCAAAATTCCACAGGGCTTTCATACCCCGTGCCCGGCCCCCCTCCCCCTGCCCTGACCCCCAGCCAGTACTCCCCAGTTCGGACCCACCTTCCCGAACTGCTCAAAATACTGCTTCACGTCCTCCACCGTGGTGTTTACTGATAGGCCCCCAACAAAGATCTTCTTCGTTCGAGTCACCATCTGTTCAGGGAGGGAATGAGAAAGTGGGCATCTGAGTCCTGTGGCCTACCGCCACCAGCAGGGGCTCCAGCCCTCCTGCTGGGGTGCCAGCTGACAAGCTCTCTGTGGCCCCAGCTACTCAGAAGACACCCCCTACCACCACCCCGAGCTCCCCCCTTGGACTCCCACCTCTGGCCCTGTCGCAGGCAGCTGTACACCCCACACCCTGGCTCGCTCCCTGGGGTCTATGTCAGGAAGTGGGTGGCTGGCTCAGTGACCCAGACCTACAGCTGTACCTCGAAGACCCCACCAGCCACTCCTAGAAGAGGCCAAGGCCCATCCCAGGGTCCCCCGGAACTTAACACCGACATTTTCCTCATCAACCTCTTCCCAACCCAACCTCTGGCAGCCCCGTGGCCCCAGCCCTGTTTTAGGAAGAACACATGGTCCTAATTACCCCAGGAGCGCATGGCTAATCCACGGCAATTCCCAGCCCCATCCTAGCACTAAAGCACCTTCTGTCACCAAACTGCTTAATGGAATTAACCCAATTCCGACCATGTGCTCCCTGGTGCGGCTTCCTTCCAATACCTGCTCCATAATTGCTTTCAGGCCCTCTGCTGGACCCTGGCAGGGATGCCCTTTTCCTGTCTCCCCAGACCTGCCCCTCTCCTTTCACTGTGGCCGGAGCTAGGCGCCATGACTTAGAATCGTAAAGCCACCAATTCCCACCAACCCCTTGCAAAGGGGGAAACTGAGATCTCCTGGAGAGGGACCTAGTCCCAGGACACATGATAAATCAGCCGACTCAGGGCTCCTGCTCCCAGGACTGTAGTCAGCCCACTGCCTATCTCCTGTTTTCAACTGCTTAAAAATGAAGATGTGGCTAGTTGCCCTGGGAACTAGAATACCACTGTTAGGCCCCTGTGCTGCACCAAGAGTTTTGAGTTCTGTATGGCTCCACTGCTCAGAGAGCTGTTTTGTGGGTACCCAGAAAAACGTGCCACAGCACCAGGGACAAAGAACACTCAGGAAGGCAGCCACAGTCACCCAAGTTGAAAGATAACAGGTGACAGATGCCATGATCCCTTTCTGCTCTGCAAGCCCAACGCACCTCATCCCAGAGGTGAGGGGAGCTGGGGGGGGTACTGGGGGTCAGAGGTAGCTCCCTGGCCTTTCTCTAGTTCAGCTTCAGCAGGTAAGTCTGGGCTGTATTTGAGTGCCTCCCACCCCAGAGGTGCGGGCACAGAAGTTGTGATCTCCAAAGTCACAGAATTAGAGTCCAAAGTGTGCACGCGTGCATGCTGTCACTTCAGCTGTGTCCGACTCTGTGCGACCCTATGGACTGTGGCCCTCTGTGAACCAGGCTCCTCTGTCCATGGGGATTCTCCAGGTAAAAATATTGGAGTGGGTTGCCATGCCCCCCTCCAGGGGATCTTCCCGACCCAGGGATCGAACCCACATCTCTGTGTCCCACACATTGCAGGTGGATTCTTTACCCTCTGAGCCACCAGGGAAGCCCAGAGTCCAAAACGTACTGATTTCAAATACAGGGCAATGAATCCCCTGAGGAGTTCCTCTTTCTCTCAACAAATGCGGCCCCCTCTCCCTAGTCCACCCCAGAGCACAGATGGAAAAATGCATCGTGTCTGCAATCCAGAGAGCAAGGACATTAAGAATCCTCCCTCTTCCCATCCCATGCCATGTCATTAGCACTCCACCCAGAAGCCTCTTCCATAGAAGAGAATGATGGGAAAATCTCTCCTGGTGGTACAGAGCTACTCCCAGACACAGACATACCTACCTTAGGCTGTGCTCGCCGAGGAAAGGCCACCTTGGGATCAATCTGAAAGAGAGGACAGAGATAGAGGAGGCCTGGCTATCACACATAGCCTGAGGATCTGAGGACCACTCTCATCCCAGGACACAGAGGTGGCGCAGAGTGACAGAAACCACCACGGCCTCTGGCAGGAAGATGCAGTGGTTAGAGCTGGGCTTTTGGGTTCAAATCCCACTTAATGCTGCTTCCCAGCTGTGAGATCGTGCACAAATGACTTAACCTCTCTGAGCCTTAGGCCTGAGTTCACCCGCAAAATGGGCCAATACTGACATCCACCTCAAAGGGTCCTCTGCAGATTATTTGAGGTAATGCTTACAAAGCACTTGTTGTCTAGTCCTCAGCAAGAACCACAAAAAAGTAAGCACAGACTTATTCCTTCCGGCACCAGGTATACTGAAGCCCTTCCTGCCTGAGAGATACCTGTCCAGGTGAGGCAGGCAATCCAGACTGCAGGAGCATTGGGAATGGAAACGATCTTTGCCTGAAAAAGGCTTTGAGATAAGAGTTCGTAAACCACAAGGGTAGACTCCATTGTTTTCCCAACACCACCGCCATCCAACAGTTCTTCCTGATGGTGCAAGCAAACAGTTCCCTGATAGTACAGGTCGGCTTGGGGTGAAGCAGAGCACAGGCTTTGGTGACATGCAAGAGCACGGGATTCGGACTCAGAAACTTTGGGCCCCTGGCCAAGTCTGTGATTCTGGTAACTTGCCTGACCCCTCTGAGCCTCAGTTCCCTCATCTGCAAAGTGGGGACAATAGCACCCACTTTTCCCAGAGGCAGCTGCATGGAATCAAATGAGATAACGCAGGTGAAAGCATTTCTTTGTGAACTGCCCTTCTTTGCACAAACAAAGGTGCTATTACCAGCGGGCCACCTTTGCCCTTGGCCGTGAACAACCAAAGGGGAAAAAGCAAGATGCACCTGGGTACTCCCAGGTACTATATTCGTATTAACAAACATCAAAAGGCAGAGCTCGAGATACTGTGATCAACACAGGACCTCTGAGGCCCAGTCATTTCAGAGTTTCTTGCCACTCACGTGGGTGGACACCACTCAGAAGTTCACTAGCCAATCGCAGGGGACATCTGTCTTTCCCCACAGTTCCTTCCGTTCAAAACTCAGCCTAGTTCTAGGCAACAGACTCTGGCTCTTCACTGCCTGAATGGCACAAACCAGGGAACAGCCCTCCTGTTTCCCCCACTGGAATCTACCCACAGAGAAGGAACCTCCAAACTCCACACTGGGCAATGCCTCCTCTCTCCCCAAATCCCATGGGGCTCCAGGGATAATTACAGCTGCCCACCAAGGTACAATTTTGTGTCTCAATGCGCATGTTCATCCTTCTGTTTCTCCTGGAGGCCACCAGAACACACCTCTGACAGTCCCCCTGCGCAGACACTGATGGGGAGATGGTACTTAAGCCATGGCCTGCAGACCCACACACAACCAATCGCTGACACACCCTACCTCCATTCTGACTCACAGCTGGCAACATAAAACCCAACAAGTAAATAAAAGGTGAAAGTCAGAACCCAAAATAGACTCCCCACAATAAGCCTCCCTTCCACCCCCACCCCTTTCCCAGGCTGGAGAATGCCAAACACAAAGCCCCTGCCCTTTTCAGAGTCCCGCATCTCAGAAGGATGCCTATCTCTTGCTCCTTCCTCCCTTCTCTCTTCCTCTTATCCATCTTCCATGCCCCTGCCCCCCAGCTCCAACCCCAGTCCCAGCATCTCGGCTTCCTGAGTGCCGCAGAAGCCATCAGTGCATTCTGAGGACAGGGGATGGTAGGAGAACAGGCAGCTTGATGGCAGATAATCACCAAAAACAATAGGCCACTGTCTCTCCATTCCCAGCTTGGGTCACTCAGTCTGCGCCAAGAAGATCCTTTCAGGGCCGGCAAAGTTGAGGCCTGGCCTCATTGGCTCATGACCACCGGCAAGAGTGGGAGCCACTGGGCAGAGATAACAGGAGCTGGGGACAGGCGGTAGTTTAACAAATTCTTGGGCACAACCAGCTATTGTTGCAGGTAAGCAGGAGCCAGTGACTGACCCAAGCAGGGAGGCCCAGCGCTGGAGGAGAGTGGGGGAGTGTGGAGAGAGATCGCACTGTCCCTGGCAGACAGTCACCCCATCACAGAGGAGCCCTTCCTCGTTTTCTCCTCTCCCCTCTCCCCTTGAGCCGGGGCCCGGGCCAGCGCCCCCTGCAGGGCCCAAGACACTGGAGAGCGGTGGGACAGCAGCAAAATGTTCCCAGAGTCTGAATGCCCAGCCAGCGGCTTCTCCCCAGACCTAGCCGGCAAGAGTTGTTTCCAGGCAAGCTAGGGCCCTCCTCATAAATTCCTCCACGGGCAAAGCAGGTTCACATCTTCCACACAAAGCCAGGAGCTCATTGACCAAAAGTCAGGGGAGGGAGGGAGAGGAGGGGGGATTCAATGATGCTTTGCCATTGGTCTGGAATGGGGTGGTGGTAAGGGGGGAGCCAAGTACTAGTTAGAGTTCAGAGAAGCCACGGGTGGGTCACTGCAGCCCTGACTCACCCCATTTGGGCTAGGGGAGGGACCTAGCCCCACCCCAAGCTCCTCTCTGAGGCATCAAGATTAGTATGTGCAGGGAGGGGGTGGCAGCCTCATCTTCCCTCCCCGGTCCTGGAGGGACTGGGGTGGGGTGGGGATGTAATATCGTTTAACAGGCTTGGGATTTTGCAGCTCCGTCTGCCCTCAACTCGACTGACAAAGTTTCAGAGCGTGGCAGCCCTCCTACTCCGCAAACTCCCTCCTTTCTCCCGGGATCCCATCCAACTGTCCCCCCACCCCCAGCCCTGGACAGTCCTGCCCCCTCTCCTCCAGCGACCTCCCGCTCCCAAAAGACCCCCGAAGCCCCAAGGGCCACTCACTGTTTTGGAGTCGAGCTCGTGCCGCGACTGCGCCAGGACTTTATCCACCCCCGCCTGGTCCATGAAAGTGACGAAGCCGAAACCCCTGCGCGCCGTAGTGAGGGAGAGGCAGATGGTTACAAGGCAGAGTGTGGCGGCGAAGCGGGGCGAGCCGGGAGCCAGAGGAGGGGGTGAGGGGCTCACCTGGATCTCTTGGTCAGGGGGTCCCGCATCACCAGACACTCCTTCACCTCCCCGAACTGGCCGAAGTATTCGCGCAGCCCTTCTGTAACCACACACCCGCCTTCGGACCAGCCCGCGCCCCTGCGCCCTTCCCCCCTTCCCCCGTCCTTTGCCCCCAGTGACCCCGGCGCGGCCCGGCCGCCCCCGCGCCCGGCAGCCTGCACGCTCTCCAGCGCTTCCCCCCACCCCTGGTCTTCACCCGACTCCCCTGGAGCCTCCTGGAGCCCACGGGGGCCCCAGGAAGCCGAGGGCCGAGCAGGGCTGGAGGGGGGACGGCTCCGGCCGGGTTCCCGCCGCTCCGGGAGCCGCCTCACAAAAGTTTGAGCCGCAGGTGCGAGCGGAGTTGGCGCTGCCGCCGGCGGGTCCCCGGGGCCCAGCCCACCCCCCACCCCCGATGCCCCCTGAACCCCTCATCTCCTCCCCTCCACCCGCTGGGCCGTGCGCGCTTGCCGATCGCCCTGCGCTCTCGGGGTCCCCGGGCGGGGCGCGAAACGGCGCAGGGGCGCCCGGGGTCAGCGGGGCGCAGGGCCGGGCTGGGGTGTCCGGTTCCGGGGCGCCGGGGGGTCCCGGGTGCCCCGCCGGGCCGGCGGGCGCTCCCGGGCTCGCTCACCCTGCGTAGTCTGCCAACTGAGTCCCCCGATGAACATCTTGCTGCGGAGGAGGAGAGACACAAAGGGCCCGCGTGAGCGCCGGGCGCCCGGGCGCAGGGGGCGCGGGCCCGGGCCCCGGGGAGGCCCGGCCCGACCCGGATCGGCCATGTTGGCGGGGCCGGGGCGGGCGCGGGCCAGGGAGGCCGGGCCGGGCCGGGCCGGGACGTACCAGGGGTCGTGCGGCGAGTCCGGGGAGGCGAGGCCGGGCTGGGGCGCGTCAGTCTCCATCGGGAGCCGCGGGCGGCGCGGGCAGCGGAGCGGCGGCGGCGGCGGCGGCGGCAGCGCTCGGCGCGGGGCAGATGAGGAGCGCGGCGAAGGGGGCCGGACGGACAGGCCATGCTGCCCCCTCCCCCGACCCCGCTCGAGCGGGCGGGCGGGGACGGCCGAGGGGAGGGCCCGCCGGGGGCCGACCTGCCGGCTCCTCCCCCCGCCGCCCTGCGAGCATAAAGCCCAGCGCTCGCCAGCCCGCCCGCCCGGGCGCTCGCGGAGGCGGCGGCGCCCGGACCCCGCTCCCGCCGGGCTCCCGGGTCCCCGAGGGCAAGAGAGACCCCCCCGAATCCCGAGGCGGGCCGGGACCTGGGCGCGGCCGCACCCCCCACCCACCCCGGCACGGGGGCCGGGCCGCGGGAACGCCCTCCCGGAATGAAGCGCTTCCCGGTGCCTTCAAGGTAGCTCGGTTCCGGATCGGGGACCCCCCCCATCCCTAGTCCTCTCTCTTAGTTCCCCGCTATCTAGAATCTAAGAAATCCCCAATCTCCCTGGGTCGGGTGGGAGATAGCCCCCCAATGCCCTCACGTTCCAGCTGGTGAGGATCCCTCCATTCCCCCTGTCGGAGCGAGAATCGCCCTCCTGAGCCCCCAATTTCCGCTAAACCTAATTTAAAGTTCCCCTCTCGGCGGCCCTCGGTCCACTCCCGGTGTCCCCTACCGCCCCCCCTCCCCCGCAAGTCCAGTTCGGGGAACCCTCTCGGTGCCTCGCGTCCCGAGCGGGGAGCCTCCATCAGCACCCCAGTAGAAAGAGTGTTAGTTTCCCTCGACCCTTTCTGAGACTCCCTCTCGGGTCCCCCCACCCCCAACCCCTTCCATTCACAGCCGCGGACTATTCTATAGTCTTTTTGAGGAAACCCTCCTGCTGCGAGCTCGGGTTCTTCGTTTGCCGGTTGCCCACTGCCTCCACCTCCCCAGTGTGAGGAATCGCCACCGTTTGCCTCACTCCCCGGCTAACTCTGGTCAGCCCTACTCGAACTTCTGTCTAGATTCGGGAAAGCAGGTCCCAGAGGCTCACCGCCCAGTCCCTATGGAGGCTGGGGGAAAGGTCAGCGCCTCCAGAGGGCCCCCCCTCCGCTTCCAGTTTAGCAGCCCGTTGGCTCAGCTGTGCACCTTCCTCTTTGAATGACCGCCCCCCCCCCTTTTTTTTTGCAGAGTTCTAAACCCCACCCCATCGGATTGGAAGAACCTAAGATGCCTGCCCAGTGCGTTTGGAGTTACTTCTCTCGGTCCGTCTCAACTTAAAGGGCTCCCCATGGAGGCAAACGCCTTCCCGTCTTCCTTCTCCCCACATCCCCATCTTCTGGGTCTCTGAGACCCTCTAGTGCCTTTGCCCTAGGCTCTTGGGAGCCATCTCGCCCACCCCTTAAACGCCCTCCGTCTAGCCCAGCTAGTCCACCCTGGATCGCGGGCAGATTCTGGCCACTCTCCTACCCCATCTCCAAATCCATAGGCTCTCGTCAATTCCCTGGCAGAAACCAGTCAAGAAAGGGTCAAAGCTGGAGGCTAAGCAGCTGCTCCTCCCCAAATCCCCGCTGGGGGGGGGGGGGGCGGTCTCAGCGCCACACAGAAACCCCCGCCCCAAACTCACCTCCACTCCTTCCCTCACCCCCCTTCAGTCCACTCTGCCTAACCCGGTGACAGTCCTCGCTGACAAGCCCCTTGCTCACCTTGACCTCCACCCTCAAGTCAACCACCTTTTATTAATGTGTGCAGGAGCTCTGGGCAACGTAAACCTGACCTCTGGAAGGATGCCCATCCCCCTCCTCTCAGTATACTTTCCCCACCCCCCACCCCAGCCACCTCTGCTAGAAGAACGTGAGAGACTCAAGTTAATGGTTTCCTTGGGGACTTTCTGGGAACACTCAGCAGGTATATCCTGCCACCCTGTGTGCATAACACTAGAAACAAACTTGCTTTTTCCTGTTTTTATCATCTGACTGGTTCCACAATTTCTCAGACACCCCCAGACTGGGGGTGGGGGGTGCCCCCACACATGGTATTTCTCACCATCTTAATACAAACTGGAACATCAGGTGTGTACTGGAGGAGACATGGATAGGGGTCAGCAGGGTGCCTCTCCGGTGTTAGGGAACTAACCATTCCTAGGTCTAAATTTCAGGTTTCCTGTGTATAAAATGGGGCCAATGAGGAGATAGGAGGAGGGAGCCCCAAGCGCCCATGAGCATTGATTTTGGTGCTAGTGCTGTTGGGTACTGGCTGTTGGAGGGTGGGAAATGGGTAAGGATCATTTGTCCTGAGCCGGCCAAGCCGGGTGAGAGAGGATCCATTTATTATCCTCCTCGTGCAGGACCTCAGAGGAGGAAGCGTCTACTTGTTGTCACTACCTGTCACGTGTGGGGTGAGTTTACAGAAGTCCCCTCCCACTGCAGGTTCATCTCAGTCTCATTGCTTCCTTCCACTTTGTTCACAGTAGGGGCAAGGAGTCCTTCGAGGGGTAGCCTTCACAGGACAGTGCAGCTGTAAATGGATGGTCCTCATAGGAAAATGGAGATCTCAGCGGCATTAAGGAAAAAATGATCTTTAGAGCAACTGGCCCAGACCCCAGAATCAGGAGATTAGAGGATTCGGTTCCAGTTCTTTCTCTCTAGTATGACACACCCTGAAAAACCACTCAGAAAATTAAAGCATAAATTGCTTTATACTTAAAAAAAAAATCCTCTCGAGAAATACAGTGGGTCAATGACATTCCACCCAAGTACCAAGATGCAACTTGGCACGTTCATTCATTCCACAAATACTTATTGAACAGCTGCTACCTACCAGACACTGTCTTAGGTGCTATATTCTTAGCAGCTACCTTGGTGAAACTTGCTTACTAGAGACAGGAATCAGACAATAAATAAATAGATAAATAAATTGGTGATTTGTCAGTTACTTAATGGTAAGTGCCAGGGAGAAGGAAGGGGGATGATGAGGGTAGGGGGCATGGGGGAGAGGGTGATAAGCAATTTTACATCAGGAACGTCCTCACAGTCCTCACAGGGAGGGTAATGTTTTAGTCAAGACTTGAAGGAAATGAGCTCCATTAATCTGTTATCCAGAACTCTCATTTAAGCAGAATGCCCACATCTCTTAAGTGCAATGATAATTGATATTCATAATTTGATTTTCACTGCTCCAAAGCAGTGGTTCCCAAACTTGAACGTGCATTAAAAAGAAAAATCACCCAGTGATTTTCAGTAGACACAGGGTGGACGGGGGCTCTGAAAATGGCATTTTTAGACAAGTATCCAGTGATGTTGATAGCTGAGGTTTTCCTTGAACCACTCTTTTTTTTTTTTTCTTGGACCACTCTTGAAGACACACTGCTTTAAAATATACTAAAGAGTCTTCTAGAATGACAACAACAACAAAATTAAAGATTAAATTACAGCCTGTGCGGTTTTGGTGTTGAGAGAATTTCACTGTGTTCTCATTCTTTGAAAATGCAAAACCCTGGATTATCCAGAACATCCCATTTCTTGTCCATGCAGGAAGAGAAGAGAAATTTTATCACAAGCTGATGAGGAGCCAAATATTTATAATCAGTCTGGCTTACATCCTTCCCCCCACCACCACCCCCCGCCCACAATTTTTGCCCTAATTTCTCTCTGTACTTTTTACTTTCCCCAAATTTCTGGACAGCAAGCAATCGGCCGGGGGTAATGAAAGCACTTGATCAAGAGTCCTGTGGTCCACAGGTTGGTCCTGGAACCACCACTATTTCTGATTGTGTGGGTCTAGGGATTTGCCACTCAGTCTGTTGGACTTGCATTTACTCCCAGAATTGCTACAAGACTTAAGTGAGATCATGTATATGAAAACACCTTAAATACTCTGAAGCATTGCAGGAGAAGCTCTGTGACTGTGTATCCCCAGGTCCAGTTAACTTTGTCCAGTTCAAATTCAGTTCCCCTCAGGACTGTGTGGAACTGGCATAAGAGTATACACAGACATCAACAGAACAAAACTGAGAGTCCAGAAATAACACCTCACATTTATGATCAACTGATTTGCTGATAAGGGCATGAACACAATTCAATGGGAAAAGAACAATCTCTTCAACTGAATGTCTACATGCCAAAGAATTAAGTGTCATCTCTTCATCACACCATATACAAAAATCAACTCAAAATGGTTCAAAGACCTAAAACTATAAAAAGAAAGATAGACCAATTGGACATCATTAACATCGAAACCTTTGCACGTCAAAGGACACCATCAAGAAAGTGAATAAAACAGTGAGACTTCCCTGGCAGTCCAAAGGTTAAGACTTCAAGCTTCCAGTGCAGGAGTCTGGTCCCTGATCCAAGAGCTAAGATTCCACAAGTTGCAGGGCAAAACCAAAAAATGAGAAAGAAAGTGAAAAAAACAACCCAAAGAATAGGAGAAAAATTTTGCAAGTCATGTATTTGCTAAGGGACTTGTATTATATAGAATACATAAAGGAGTCGTGCAGCTCAATAATAAAAGGATAGCCCGCCAGGCTCCTCTGTCCATGGGATTTCCAAGGCAAGAATAGTGGAGTGAGTTGCCATTTCCTCCTCCAGGGGCTCTTCCAAACCCAGGGATCGAACTCACATCGCCTTCATTACAGGCAGATTCTTTACCAGTGAGCCACCAGGGGAGCCACAATAAAAAGATAAATAACTCAATCAAAAATGAGCAAAGGATCTGAATAGACATTTCTTCAGAGAAGATATGTAAGTGGCCGATAAGCACATGAAGAGATGCCCAACGTCATTAGCCATCAGGAAAGTGCAAATCAAAGCCACAATGAGATACCACTTCACACCCACCAAGATGGCTGTAATCAGAAAGATAGATAATATCAACAGTTGGTAAGGATGTGGAGAAACTGGATCCTTTGTGCATTGCTGGTGGGAGTGTAAAATGGTACAGGACTGTGGAAAACAGTCTAGAAAAGCAGGTCCTCAAAAGGTTAAACTTGAATTACCATATAATCAGAAATTCCACTCCTAGGTATATACCCCCAGAGATAAAGGGAAACATAATCTGCACAAAAACTTATACATGTCAGTTCATAGCAGCATTATTCCTAATAACCAAAAAGTGGAAACAACTGAATTATCTACCAAGTCTATACAATGGAATATTATTTCGCCATACAAAGGATTCAGTACTGAGACCTGCTAAAAAGCGGATAAACCTTGAAGGCGTGATGCTAAGTGAAAGGAGCTGTAAACAAAAGGCCACATGACTGTGTGCTTCCATTTACCTGAGATGTCCACGGAATCAGGAAATCCACAGAAACAGGAAGTAAACTGGTGGTTGTCTAGGGTTTCGGCAGTGGGAAAACTGGAGATTTAGGGAAAGCAAAGTGACTGCTAGTGGATATAGGTCTCTATTTGGAGTGATGACATACTCTAAAATTGATTATGGTGATAGTTGCACAATTCTGTGAACACACTAAAAAC